AGGTCTTCTAAAACCACTTGACCCATTAAGAAGTTTTTCTCTTCTTTTTATATACGCGAAAGAAGATTCCAGGAGTGACTATAATAAACAAAAATAGTCAATCTAATACATGGCATACTTTTCTGGCGAATGGTTCATTCTGGGAAATGTTATAGAATCTCTTGGATTATTACTTGGCTAAAAATTAACATTTAAAGATCACAAATACACTGGAGTCGCTTTTTACGCGGGTGATACGTCCCGCGTAAAAAAAAACCGCGTAAATTCCGGAATCCGCGTAAAAAAACAGCGTAAATTCCGAAATCTGCGTAAAAAAAACCGCGTAAAAAGCGACTCTAGTGTATAACGATAAACCGCGTAAATTCTGAAATCCGCGTAAAAAAAAACAAACTCCACGTAAAAAAAACCGCGTAAATTCCGAAATCCGCGTAAAAAAAACCGTGTAAATCCCGAAATCCGCGTAAAAAAAAAACCGTGTAAAAAACAGCGTAAAAAGCGACTCCAGTGTATATAAAATGGTTGTATCCTCTTATAAACAGGAAATCCAAACATTGCCTGACGAATAAACTTCTAATATTTAAACAAGTTTTTAGACCGGCCTTGCTTTACGCTGTGCCAATATGGTCTACTTGTTGCACTACCAGGAAAAATACACTTCAAAAAAATTCACAACAAAGTTTTGAAGATGATTTTGAAGTTGCCTCCCTGGTACAGTACTTCCGAGGTACATAGAATTTCGAATGTTGAGACTTTAGAACAAATGTCCAACAAAATAAATAATAATTTCAGGCAAAAATCGTTGCAATCCTCAATTGCAACAATTAATTCCCTTTATACTTAGATAAGATTTTGTTTTAGTTTTTTTTAAGATGTCAATTGTTATACTGACATGCAGGTATAGACATCCTGTTTAAAATACTGAATTGCCAAGGCAGGAACAATGTAAAAACACTTATATATCATAACAATTAATGCTGGTAAGTTACTGTAGTAACTGGAGTACCTAGGTTAAAATGAAATGTAATTTATTTTGAATTTTGAACAAATAAATAGTTTAAAAAAACGTAATAAGGTCTACAATTATTCTACTAGTCAACAATCAATTTATAAGTCTAAATGATTTTTTAAAGCCTGTGTGATTTATGTGATTAAATGTGATTCGAAATCAGAAATTCCGTTTATTGCAAGTCCAGCGTTTTGTTAAGTCTCATTTAAGACACAAATTTATATTTCTGCTGGGCTTTACAGATTTGCCCAGTGGTTTATTCGGCAAGATAGTCGTCCTAGCGCTTTTGTTTCTGGTTTTAGACGATTGATGTTTTTGTTCTTGAAAGTTCTCTTTTTTGAGTTCATGATGGGCCTTCCTTTAATTTTCATTTGTATGTAGGGGAAATTACGTATTCTCGGCAACCTAAGCAGCGACCTTCTTTCTATGGCCTTTTTCTCTAAGGAACGCACACATATGCAGTATTGGTTTGTTTACAATCTTCTGCTACCAGCTGCTCTAACAATTTCAGTCGAAAGAATTGTCAAAACTTTTTTGAAACGCTTTTACAAAGCTCCAATCTTCTCTAGTGAGAGCGAGTATTGTCGGCAACCAGTTTTTCTTCGGCAACCGTTCCATTTGAACTGCATGTAAATCTGCTGTTCTATTATCGGCAACTCGAAATCAGCTACAATTTGTAGTGCGTGTGTTGCATTTCAAGAAAACCTTGCTAGATTGCTTTTTCTCAGTGGTAAAAATATTGTCAAATTGAAGCTGAAAGCATAAATAATCGTTTGCATGCATTCAGCGAAGTGTTTTCGTAAGAAAATCCAGTGTAAATAGTGTTTTAATTTGGTTTGCCGAAAATAGTCTGTCATGCCGAAGCCGTCATTTCCCCTACTTAAACTTAAAATGTATTCTCATTCTATTTCTCTCTGCTGAAATCTAGTTCTCACCTCTTCGTGTTCAGCGTTGGAAAATTTCGTGAGATTGTATGAAGCTCACAAAAGGAAAAGTTTGCGAGTCATTGTGAGTTTTGCGAATTTTTCCTATAGATTTATTAGGGACCCGCTTTTTCCCAGTGTTCATACAAGGGAGGATAGAACTAGGGTTCCTTCCACCTTTTCCCTTCTCCTACGTCCTTTTCTTCCACCGTTTTCTTTTCAGAAAGTGAGTATTAGCGCTATAAATATAAGCCAAGAGCCAAGAGCTAGTGTCATGTCCAACCACTAGATGAATTGGAGCATCACTTAACCTTTTTAGACTAGATGCTCCCAACGACCATTTTTTTTAATAAATAACAATGCAGCGAAACGTACGGTACGAGATGTCCACGTTTCATTAATTTATTGGATTCTGAAGCATCGTGTTTAAATCTGTGATTTAAACAAGCCCGACGTTTCTGAATCTTCTTTTCCCTTAAGGGGGTATTCCCGATCTTTTTTTTCAAAAAATCAAATTTTTTTTTTCACGTTTTTTTGTACTTTAGACTATATACTTTCATCCCCCCAAGCCGTTTTCCGATCAGCGAATTCGGTGTCCAGGCATAGCTGACTAATGGTAAGAACCCCCAAATGGTTTTAACTAAAGTCAAAACTTTAAACGCGTTTTTCTCGAAACCACATTTTTTTTATCGGGCGAAGATTTTTCTCAGAAACTATAAGAGATATTGACTTGAATCTTTGCGCATTTTGTTCCTTATTAAATTCTTTGGAGCTTCTCCCACTTTCAGCCAAAAATATTAACATTTAACATTGTTTGAAGCACCTTAAAGCTGCAAAAAAGCGGGCTAAAAATCGCCTGTTTTTTCATATGGCCGCCATTTTGTTAATTTGCAAGATTTTTTGCTGCCAACGGGAGAAGCTCCAGAGAATCTTATCAGATTATTAATTTCATCACGAAATCTGTTTCAGATGAAGCCGTTCCAGAGAAAAGTCTTCGCCCGTCCAGGCGTTTGCTGCGAACAGGGGTCTGTTTGCCGCCATTTTGTGACGTCAATAATGTCTTTTTTTATGTCGAAAAAAATTTATTTGTAAACTTTAATGTTCAATAAACAAGAATCCCAAAGAGTTAGGCGCATCACTATTCATTTTCCTTGAAAAAAAATTAATTGAAAAACAGGCCGAAAAAAGGCAAAAGATTGGGAATACCCCCTTAAATGTAGTACAGTATGCCGGGCCGTTTTGATATATTTTGCGCATCTCTGATGTGCAACATACACCAAATAGACAAGAAAAATGATGGATATATATCCATAATTTTCCATGATGCTTTCATGAACTGGCTATCTTGGTGTTAAACTAGATTAGAAATGTCTATTTCTGATGGGCTTTAAGAATTAAATTCAGTTTCGTGTGTTTTGTCAAGAATAAATTCTGCAGCAGAATGGGCACAAACTTCATTTCAGACTATTTTGTGTTATAACCGTTAAAGGGTTTAGATTTAGTTGTCGGCCTACTAAGCTCAACCTGCACTTTACCTCTTGTTTTCGAACGGATTATTACACAAAATGGAATGTTTCTTCTCAACTTTTTAACTTCAAAACTTATTTGTCTTTCTATACATATGTACCATTATATTTGATAAAGAGACACAAATTGTTTATTATATGTTGTTAAAAATACAACACTGTTTTATGATTCCAAATTTGGCCTTCAAGATTCAATTTCGTACAAACACATAGTAACGTCGTTGGATTTTACTTCGTCATACGGATGAAAGAAAAATAGAAGGGAAAATGGATTTGCTAGGAGTGCTTCTTTTGTTTTTAAGGGCAAAGGGTTTAAATATTCATATTTTCCGCTCTTAAACGTTTGTCATACCAAACTTGAATTTGTAACTTCGACCAAAACGAACTTTCCATACTATGGTAAACTCGATATGTTCAAAAACGGAAATGTAGGTGATAATGTTTGCCAATTACATTAGCTAACTCCTGTGAATCTTTACGAGTAATCAAGAACAAAAAGCTTATTCAATGCCGCGGACACACTTGGATGACAAACAATGAGCAAGATCATTATTTGTATAATAAATTATAAGCACATCCATGGTCACTAGAGTGATGCAAAATTTGAAATTTTCGCTCCACAATACTTAAACGATTCCAAATCGGATCCTGACTAACCTCTCAAAATTTGAACCCATTTGGTGAGAAACTGAGATGGCACAAACCATTTGAAGTTTGTATGGGAATTACTATGGTAAAACCAAGATTTTTGTTCATGTCTATCTAATAATTCACCATATCGGTCTGCTTCAAAAACTTTCAACTTTACTTGTAGGAAATTTTCCTAACTACAACTTTGCTCAAGACCACTTTTTATTAAATGCAAGGATCGAAAGTTATTAATGGTTCAATGCACTGATGTCTTATGATCATGCTCAATCAACTGCTCAGCAGGCAACATTGGTGTTTCTGGGGCGTTGAATAGGACACAAAAATTATGGCTACTATGTCACACTGCAAAATACAGTGTTGCCTACAGAGCAGCTGCTTGATCATGTCATATGTTTACCAATCTCTTAAATAATTAATAACTATTTCTTGTCTCGTTTTACATAGAAACGATCTTCAGCAAAACTGTAGCTGAAAAATTTTCTTTAAGAATAGCTATCGAGCTGTTTTGCAGCTCAATATGGAAAAAGACTAGAAGGCAATGAACAAAAAGTTGAGATTTCCCATAGTAATTTACATGTAAACTTCAAATAGTTTGTGCGAAGTCTGTTTCTAACCAAATGAGTTGTAACTTTTGGAGGCTAATCACGACCCGATTTGAAACCATTTAAGCACTGTGGAGCGAAAAAGTCAAAATTTGCATCAGTCTAATGGTCACACTTGTATAGTTTGTGTATAGCTGTTGTATAGTGCTCATAATAATTATTATAAAAATAATGCTCATGCTCATAGTAGGCCATACAAGTGTATCCGCGACACACTTCCATGAGCGCACAAATTTTTCAGAGATCTTTTTGCCGTGTGATGATCACTGAGCAACCGCTGGTTTTCACTTACTTCTATCCTCGACTTCATTATTCTCGTTGTATTCCGGGTCCTTTAGGTTTTTATTCCACTCGTACACGGCGCACACATCATCCAGCAGGAAAAAGTTGTACATAGCATACTTCCGGTATCGATCCAGCAAGATATCCGAGATCACATGCTGTCTACTAATCCACTCACAATCTTGGATGATTTTGGCTAGACCACCATCACTTCCATCTGTGTCCAAACAGCAATATCCGGTAACTGCTGCCAGTAGAGTTAGCGTTATTTGCAATAGGATTGCCATATTTGTCGCTAAAATGGATCGTTTTGTAGTCGCTCAATAATCACATGTTTCACTAATCACTGGTACAATGTTACTGACTCACCTGTTGTCTGTTTCGCGCTCTTTTATAAGCAAATCTCGAAAGGATCTCCTATCCTAGCTTTTACCCACGATGAACCGATGAGATGCGACAATTGTTCGTTTAACAGCTCATTTCCCTTGACACCTTCGTTTTTGATGAACCGCCCCCGCCATTCGGACACCTTCTTCAAATATTTTTTTCTCCCTCATAATATCAACTCACGAACGCTTAGGAGCATGCTTCATTTAATTGTAACTCATCTGCTTTCAGTCGGAAAGTGTCCTATCGGCTCTGGAAGGGGAACCATGGCCGGTCCATGTTGAAAAGTTTTGTGCAAGAAAGGTAAAATTTACGAGTAGAGCAACACGTAGGATCAAGAGTGTCCTTTTTGCAATTAAACAACTGAGCTGTGAATAATTGATGGGTGGGGTGGCGTCTTTCTTTGGGAGTCGTTTGAATTTGAATGATTGCAATTGATTTCGTTCCCTAAACAAGTATCTACTCTCACCGATTTGGATAATGTTGGTTCGTCACGGATGCTTTGCGGCAGTTCGGTAGACTGAGATTTAGAGTAGCAGTGGTATTAATTAATTTCCGTCGGAAATGTTTTGAACATTCAGCAATGCGTGGAAGTTGGGCGATTTATGATGGTTTAAAATACGAGCTTAAAACTTCATCTTCGGAATAATGACGATAATGACACACAGGGACTTTTACAACCAAACTGGACCAGTGAATTTATATTTGTGGGTTTTGTAATAAGACAGGTCGTGGATTATACTGAAATGATTAAAATGGGGACAAAAGTGTATTGATGTTTTGATGACCAAATGTTTTGTTAGGTACCTACAAGACCTAGAATATCATAAGGGTTTGACATTTAGCAATACCGTAAAACGAAGGGAAGTTGGTCATTTTTTACCGATACCCTGAATAATTTTCCAACCAAATGTTTGGTACACAAATAAATACATCTCAAACTACTTTTCATGCAGGAATTTGGATTTAAAATTGCATGTGAAGTTTATTTGTTATAATTAAAGTAAGATTAACAATATAAATCATTAATTCTGGGGTGAAGTTGATCAACCTAATAAAAAAAAAACATAAACGAACGGTAGCCCAAATGATATAACTATTCCACACATGGTTTGGAAGATACCCCGAACACGTCATTAAGTAAAATAACCCTACACAATGTATTAGGGCATGCAGGTTTTTATGCAATGTCATATTCAGAAGTTCAGGTTGTTCAGAAGTTGTAGGTAATTATATCAGATTTTCACATAAAATAATTTATTTGATACTTATGCCGTATGACCTACTATGAGCATGAGCAATAATGAGCATTATTTGTATAATAATTTTGAGCATTATACAACAACTATATCCAAACTATACAAGTGTGACCATGAGCACATCCATAATTTATTATACAAATAATGCTCATGCTCATAATTTGACATCCAAGTGTATCCGCGGCATTAATCCAGCATTCATGATTTGAGTGCGTGTAAGTGTGAGTGAATGAGTGTAAGGATGACGCAGTTTGGGTTCAAAATTTGTGGGCTCGCACCATTGGACATCGATTATGGTGAGTTTGTTCCAGTTGAAAAACATTCTTGTAATTTGTTCATCATTCTTCTTGATTTCCTGAGATTCTTTAGATGGCCTCGATCGCGCGTGTTTTATTATTCGGTAAATTTAGCTGTTGCCCATTTTGAAACATAATTCAAAATTTCGGAAAGCATTCCACAAAGTTCATTGCTAGATCAAATGAAAGTAAAGATTGTTCCATTTTGATTAGTTGTGGTTAAGTCGGCACCATTAATCCTCAAGGACGTAATTGAAAAATATTCAAATTAATTATCACAGAGTGGCCACTGAACCGGAAAAACCGGGAGAATCGGGCATTAACAGAGAATCGAAAGCAACCGAGAAAACCCCAGAAATAGCCGGGAATTTGATTGGAACCTCACAATATTTTTTTGCTCCTATATTAATCGAATTCTGTTAACATTGATATCTCGAATATTTCTCTTAAAACCTTTAATATTTTGTCAAGTGAGGATATTTTCCTTTTTTTGCTAAATTATTTATAAAGATCAGTTCCTGACAAAATTTTCAATTATTTTCTTTTTCTTATGATCATTCCAAATGGTCTTCAGAAATACTTTTCCTTTCTTCTCAATAATCTTATGAATTTGTCTGGTTCTTTAGAAATTTTTCTCAATAACAGTTTTGGAATTCTGCACAGAAAACTTAAGCAATTCGAAGCAGAAAATTCTTGAAATTTACTCTTAATTCATCATCGCATTCTTAATAATTCTAGCGAGAATTTGTTTAATATCTCTCCATTAATTTTCTTTAGAAACCGCTTGAAATATTCCTCAGTAATCTATTGATATGACATTTAGAATTGAGAAAATTTCGCTGGATTTCTCCTTAGAATGGTATGGGAATTTTCCTCAGAACTTTCCTAAACTTTTTTTAGTAATATGCTCAAAATTTCCTGCCAAACCCTTCAGAAAACTCCTTAGTTCCCTCAAAATTCTTATGAATTATATTAGGAATTCTCTTGAAACTAGCTTGAAATTTTGCTTTAGAGCATTTTAAGAATTAGATTCCTATGAGATTATAATGCATATTTTATTTCAGCTCTCCTTTTTCTATTCCACAGCCGCAGACAGTATATGAGCAAAGGCGGCTCACACTTTTTGGCCTGTAGATTTGAAGACATACTTTAAATCTCCGCGTACATCGTACGGGCAAAGAAGTGTGCGTTTGACTTTGTACTGTTGCATTAATGGCCCTTCGCTCATTATCAACTTCTATTCAATTTTCATACTACCGTACTCTACCGGAAATATCTACCTACTGTCGTCTAAGACCATTATCTAGCTAATAAATCATCACACTAAAGCTTCACGTTAGATAGCATTTCCAACCAAATCTGAAAATTTTACAGTATTTTTCAAAATTACCTGACATTTCTGATCAAATTCCATTGGAATTTTCTCCAAAATTGCTATAGAATTATCCGTGGAATTCCTTCACAACTATCCTCAACATTCATGCTGTATTCTCATCATAATTCTCTTGTCAATGCTTCAAAGGGTCAGAATCCGATAGCCATGTTATTTTTTTTAAATTCTGAGATTAAAAGATCTCCAGTTTACGCAATATTTTTTGAAAATTCAGAAAATTCAAGAATGTGGAAAACTGGCCAAGTTTCAAAATTTTAAAATTTTTGTCATGCAATCTTCTTAAATATTTTATGACGCAGTATTCAACTGTTCGAAGATCTCATTGTTTTCTAAATTAATTTCTCATCTCAATCTATCAATTCGGTTTAAAGTCTGTTACATTTAGAATTTGGTCACACAAAATGGGTAATTTCTCGAAGAGGGGGCTCGCTAAGGGTATCATTTTGTATGTTTTTTAGATAACTTTAAGGGAAAAATTCAAGAAAAAATATTCGTCAGCTTTTCGCTGAATACCTCCCATCATGTCTTGTCATCTTTTTCCACCACTTCTCCAAATCAGATGGTATTTCGATTGTTTTGCTACATTTCTTCAATTTACGCTTGATAATCGCCCAAAATTTTTCGATGGGACGAAAATCTGGACAATTCTTGACAATTTGGTGGATTGATACTTTTTTCAATATTTTTTTCACAATTGAATGACATCCCTACTGTAATGGCAGCTGGCTAAGTCGAACCAGAACGTTACGGGACCTTCGTTTGACTGAATGAATGGCAAATTTATCTTCTGGAGACATTCCTCCTTGTAAAGTTGTCCATTCATAGTCGCTCCAGTGATGAAAATCTTTATTTTCTTTCTAAAACTGCAGATGCACTTTTTACGTAAACAGCAAAAAATAATTTTAATATCACATCAAAGTGGATGCACTTCAATCGTGTCAAAAATATCGTGTAATATTACATGTTAAAAAGGACAACATTATCATAAATACAGTGCATGAACTGACATTACGCTGCTTTTACTGCATTTGTTTATTTTTGTGGCCTTAACAATTACATGAGATTTTCGACATGATTCTGCATCCTCTTGGATGTAATATTAAAATTTATTTTTTGTTGTGTAAGTTTCATCATATGTTTTCAACGTGAGTGAGCAGAATTTATGACTTCACTTCTCTCGCGTTCCATCCTCGATAACTCTTAAACGTGTATATGAATCCTCATGAAATTTTTACAGCTGAATAAACAATCCTTACAAATCAGCTGTCAACAGTTTCTTGCTACAACAACTAGAGACGCTATAAAAAGAAGCGGCCAAATACTACCTTGAACGGACCATTCTCTGCTTGATCGTCAAGCAGTTCAGTTCGGTGTTAGCTCGCTCTCTCGAGTTGTTTGAAAAGTTCGTGGCGATAGTGTTCGCGCTCTCTCTTTCGCGGTTTGTCGTGCGTGTGTGTGTGCCCCGTAATAGATAAGCATCGGTCGCGAAGCCCGGCGAAGGTCCAGAACCCCGGTGAAGGAAGTTCCGGTGTGCCTACCTCGAACAGGTTTGCTGTTCTCCCCATGGATGGGAATATCCAGCCAGCTGTGTTGGAAAAACGCAGCAAGAAGAGGAAGAAGAATCGAGGCCAGTCCGATGGCACGATTGGTCGAGACGATGCCTCTGCGACGAACGGAGATTTCGGTGACGCTGCCGATAAAGAAAATGCTGCCGACATGAGCGCGGCAAGAGTGAAGCTACCTCCGCTGGTAGTGAAAAATGCCCATCTCAACGAGCTCATCGCGGATCTGGCGTCGCTGGGCGTCAAAGCCGAATTCAAATTGGGCAGAGTCGGCACCAAGGTGGTGCTCCGTACCATAGCGGAGTATGACTTGGTCATCGCCCACCTGAGGACTTCCAATGTGGAATTCTTCACCCACGACATCCCCGGTGAAAAACCGTTCAAGGTCGTCATCAGGGGCCTACCAAATTTCGACCCGAAGTTTATCAAACATGAAATCAGGGACCGGTA